AGTATCAGGAATGGAGGGACCTTCATTCTGAAAGGGTGTCTGTGAAGGGATAGAAAAGGGGAGGGGGGGAGAGGAACCTAGAAGAAAAGAGAAAGGAAGGAATGCGGCGGCAGGGAGAGGTATACACTTGCCCCTGAGGGCCCTGCCACATTTGAAGAGCTATAGCTCCCTGGGGCCAGGCTTAGTTAAGGCACACCCCAGGTTTGGGGCCCCAGACATGACCCTCGAGCAGGCGGACTGGGATGCTGTGGGAAACCAGAGCCAGCAGGGTGCCCCGTACGTGCTGTGGCCCAGCAGGGCACCCTGTCTGCACTATGGCCCAGTGCGGCTGTTTGGGCCTGGCTTTCCAGACCTGTCTGAAGCTGGGTCCGGTGCAGCCCTGTCCCTTCAGCTAAGGTGGTAAGTGTCCTGCTCCAGGTGGCCTGACTTTTCTTTGATCTTTTTTCACATCCCTGGCTGTGCCCTCAGCCACTGCCCAGCACAGGACAAATATAGCCACACCCTGAAGCCTCCAGATGTGCAGCCCCAGGTGACTCCTTGCTCCCCCAGGAGTCCCTGCAGCTGGCCATGAGGGCAGTGGGACACAGCAGTGGCCTGTGTTGGGGGCTGTGAGGGCCAGCCCCACACGCTCGGGGCAGCAGTGGGGTCGAAACATCTCAGCTCCATACTCTTACCCCACTCATAAACTGTGGTTCTACATCGTACGAGGATTGAAGGGAAGTGGCTTTAGTTTCCTGTATTTCTGTGCATACAGGAAAGGACAACAAGAATAAACCAAGGGTCAAAACGCCTCTTCCTCCTAGGCCTGGCCCCTTCCCCGTCCTCGGAAGCAGACACCAGTGTCTACAGTGAAGGCCGGCACTCCGGGCCAGTGCATCTCCAGACCAGGGGTTTAAACGTCTCATGTGTCTATCCCAAGGGAAAGATTATTTTAACCAGAGGCTCTAACACACCCTACCGAGGCCACGTGCTAAAGTGTAGTTTTGTGGAGTTGATGTGACTGGGGTTTCCTTGGCTGTTCAGTGAGA